TTTTTTGCCGTCGCATTCGCTCATTTTTTCTCTTTTTCGCCTGCGAACGTTTCTCTTGCTGCTGTTCTTTGAGACTTCACTGAGGCGTTATGAATGGAAACAACCTAATTCACAGTTGGAAAACAACGGGGGCACTTTTGTTCTCCATGCACACACACACACACATAAACAAACAATTACTTTAAGTTAATGGTTCCTATTTCAGTTCACTTCACATAACCATTGACCTCTTTCGGTCGATCCATTTTAGCTCTGTTTCTGAGAAACCTTAAGCTGAATCATAACAAGAAGGGGCGAAGGATTAAGTCAAACTGACGGGAGAGGNATTGCCTGTGTATTGCTTTTCGTAAAATCTAGCCACATGTTGCTATCGTTAACGCGGACTGGGGGGCATAAAAACGGGTCTCCTTGACCCCGTTCAGAAAGTCGCTTTTTGGATTCGCAATGCAACACACACACGCCTCATCCGAGAACCCTCCCCTCCCCCGCATCCACTCACTGATCATTCCCTAATCCTCGCGAGTCCTTCGGCATTTCACAGTCCAGGGGTATGTATGATCTGTGATATTTTTGTTCCACAAAAATCGCTTCGTGCTCTGTTTGTCCGGCATGTAAGCTTGTATCACATATCGACTTTATTCATTGTTCTTCTTGCAAAAGACTACTCCCTATCTATCATCTTTTCGTACTGTGTGAATTTTAGCGCTTGCCTTATGAACAGGTTAAAACGAATTCTGTATTGTAGATGTTTTAATGTTTTGAACGTTGAACGGGGATCGTTTGTTCACGCGTATATGTTCATGAACGCTTAGTTTATCCCCGGAGATCCGGCTATCGCAATACACGTATTCTGATTTCACCATACACTTCACGGTCGAATGGTATCAGGCCACTCTGGTACAATACTCATGCCTCAAGCGGCCTTGTCGATTATCTAGTCTGTAAGTCTCGTTTTTTTCCCTGTGCAATGCATCGGAAAATTTACTGTGGGCGATGGTCCAGTGGCTATAGTAATCAAATTATCACTCTGGAGGACGTGTTTTCGAATCCTACCACCGCCACCTGACGTTCTCCATTGTGTTTCTGTTGTATGGCTTTCTATGTCGCTTTCTATGTCCTGAAAATTGTCATTTTGTGTTCAATGAAAGCAATGAAAAACGACCAAGAACAAAGCGCTTCGAATTGATGCACAACCACAGATGTGAGACGCAAGCATCTCATGTACTCTCCTCGTTCGTCCACACAAAGTCGCTCGATTTATATGATATCATTGGGTAAAGAGAGGCAACGACAGTGCGTTTTAGTGTGCGGTGGGGCTGTGGGATTAGAAAAGCATGGACAGCGGAGTCAGAGTTTCTCCATTGTTAAGTCGGAAGACAGATTCATTTGATTTTTGTGCGCACAATGGCGCTTTACGAGTTGTGGTCCGCATCATTTCACACAATGTGCACAATTTCGTGATACGACTGTGTAACGCGAACGAGTTAAGTCAACCTGGCGATCCCTGCCCCTTAAGGTCCATATCACACGCGACAAAACTCCGGGTCTCATAGATTCAATAACATTTTTTAAGTCAAGTCAAGAAGCGGCTTTAATTCTCTTCATAGGGGATAAACATTCAGCTACTACACAATCACTCTTCTTTGCAAATTACATGGTTTAAAAAACCTATGATGATGCGTTACATATACAAAAAGCCAATTTAGTGAAGATTTTGTCTAAGAGTCCTGATGACAAGATCAGCGTTGGTAAGAAACCGTGCCAAGTACGGTATTATAGAGGACTTGTATGTTGTGATGCGTGCTGATATA